GTTCATTACATTTAATGTTTTCATCTGCATTTGTGAACTCGCGTAAGAGAATTAGGTTTGTCCCCTATTGACGTAAATACGTCTATACGGAAGGGTCATTAGTTACGAAAATGTGTAAGATCCAGCGCCGAGTCACTTTAAACGTTCATTCCTCAAGAATGGTAAGAGTAAGGGTAATGTAACTTATATGTAAAATGATCAGTAAATAATGACCTTCAAGAATCTGTAATTTATTTCATTGTAATTATAATTGTTTATACATTTATTGTAATTTTAATGAACCAATGTGTACAATTTTCAATGCATCTGGCGCGTTAAGCGCCCGCCTCTCGAAAACCGTAAGAGATGGATCTGGACATATTGCGTACGAAATACGTATTACCTCTTGAGCTTTCCATATCTGTTTTCAGATTTTACATATCACAAATGGTTTAGGTTCTACAAACATTTATTTATACAAACAAAGGCGCATCGCACTTCACGCTACTCCTGCGCTTGCGCAGTTGCGTCAGATTCTCCGGAACCGTGGTTCAACTGTCACTTTCTTGCATTCTTATCCAAGCAGGAGTTAATATAAAAGCTGACCATTGTCGGTCCATATTTACACGTTGTTGGTATGGATCTTACACATCTTCGTAACTAACGCTGTTTTGCCTAATGACCCTTCCGTGTAGACGTATTTACGTCAAAAAAACCCACGATCTACCAAAAGACGAAACAAGCTTAAATACCGAACTGCTAACATGATATAAGCTTGACCACGGAGCAGAAACCCACAACATGTTTTAATTAAATCCGAAATTATGTAAGAAACTTGCAGCTGGTGTGATTGAGGATTAAGTCCTTAGTTCACAACACTGCTAGGTTTTGATTAATTTCCTGGAAACATGTTGACAAATGCGGAACTAAAGTCACTTCAAAAAACTTTCAATATATATCGCCTTCTTCCACGCGTCTCAACAATGAAAAGTATTCTACTATAAAAATTTGTGATTTGTCGTCGTCGTCAACCTATTTGTAGTCACAAAATGACTTCATCGAAGAATGTTACGTTATATTTGTTTACTCGGCATTGTTGTACCAACACAATATATATTATAATAGAACAAAACAATCAAATTGGTTGGTTATAATAGAACACAACAATCAAATTGGTTGGTTATAATA